CCATCTGAAGGGCGTGGTGTCGGCTGGGGTGAGGCAGCCAGCCGCTTCGAACCGCCCGCTGTACCCTGAGCATCCCGCCGGGATACCCGGGGGACAAACTCAACGTGAGTGGTCTGGGTGGCAGGGACCCTGCGCCCTTGGGCTTCAAAAAAGGAAAAAAATCAGTCATGGAGCCATAGACCAGCTCAGGCTGGAAGGCACGTTGGAAGCTCTTCTGGCCCAACATTTCATGGGAAAGGGAGCCCGGATGAGATTATCCGGCACCCTGTCCTGAAAAACCCCAGCGATGGGGACTCCCCCCCTGTCCTTGGGGAGGTTGTCCCGGTAATCGACCCTTCTCAGCGTAAAAAAATAATTTCTCCCATCACGATGAAGCTTGAGCTTCAGTAAGAGCTGCTCCTCCACGGCGAGGCAGCCAGGAGGCCGTTCCCCCCAGCACCCTGCCCGAGGACCTCCTGCCTTCCCATCCTCTCCCGGCACCGGCAGCGTGCGGCGTTTCTCCTGACAGAGCCTGACTCACGCCACGAGCTCCTCGCCAGGAGCGTGCTGCCAGCGGAGAGAGGAGATGGGAAGCTCTGTCGTCAGCGGGACGCGGTCCCGGGGCAGGGGGAGGTCAGGTGAGAGCAGCGTCAGCAGCACGTGCGCTGCGGCTCGTTAGGTAACGGCACCCGCGGCCAGACAGGGCTTTCAGCTATTTATAGAGCGAGAGGAAGCCCGTGAGCAATGGGAGCCGAGGGGTGTTTTTAGCTGTGGTTCCTGATGATTTCACTCGGGAGGCGTGCGGGCACCTGACTTCCTCGCCGCTGCGGCAGCAGTCGCAGGAGAAATCCAGCGTAAGCCCTGGGTTCGCAGGAGAGGCAGAGTCCGGGCAAGCGAGCCCGACCCACCCCACGATGACCAGGGAAACCGTTCCCAGTTTATAATGGCGTAAAACTGGGCTGGTCTCTCCCTGATTGAGTAATCGTTTGGCCTCGGTCACTTGAAGGTTGGTTCCAATTTCATTCCTGTGGCTGGGCACGCTCCGGCGGTGCCTTAACCAGCTGGGAGCAGGTCTGCCCGACAGCCCTGCTCTGGGGCTGGTCCTGTCCCAGGAAAGCCCTGCTCTGGGGCTGGTCCTGTCCCAGGACATAAAAAACCACCTGGGAAAACAGAAACCTTCAGGAAAAATAACATCTGTAAATAGTTACTGCGATGACTTCAGTTTTTCTGGAGTTTCCCTCTTCCTCTGCTCCCCGTCAGGGAGGAGCATGGAAAAGGTGTATTTACTTTATTCAGTTTTACAGGAACTTTTTCAGTTTGTTTTTGAAATGCCCTGTACAGGACGGGCCACTGCTGGGAAATCCAGCCTGCGGCGAGGGCTGGCCCCAGCCTTCTGGGGTGGCTGGCTGGCAGGGATGGGCCTCGGCCAGTGAACGATGCCATGTTTGGTGCTTTCCTCCTCCTTCTTCCTTCCAATTTCATTTTTCCACTTGCAAAACGCCGATTCTGACCTGCTTGTCCCACCACACACCTGCCGGCAGCGCGGGCCGGGTGGCCCCCCCCCTTCC